AGAGGCTAAATTTGTCAGATGAATTATTTATTCAGGTCTAATATTTTGGAAAGGTATATTTTCAAATACGTTTATCTAGGTCTTTAATCATGCAGAAAGGAGAGCCTCAATGCTGCAGCTGAAAGAATTAGGACTCCACATAGGTGCAACACAGTGAATTGTAGAATTAGGACCTAGAATACTTCCTAACGTGTTTCAAAGTGCTAGAGTTTTAAAAAAATACCCCACCCTAGAAGCCCCTTGAAAACAAGTCACTTTAGAATTTCATAATGATTTAATCTAAACTCATTTCACATGAATTGTACTTAGGAACTTGACTACGGAAAGGACTGTGCTTTGGGACCTCTGTCTGCATTGTAGACATGAGTTTCTAGTGTGGCAGAATTTTCAGTTTTAGAACTATTTTGTATTCAGATTTGGAAAGCATTTTAGAATGTCAGTGTCTGAGATAATGTCTAAGTATTACCCTTTGCTGAATGCTAAGGTTCAGTTTACATGTACAAGTATACTACAGTATACTTAATTGCTTAGTATTTGTAAAATGCTTTGGGTTTATAAAGCTGAATATAAATAAGCATTATTAATTATATTTTGTATTCACCATCCTGTTACAGTATAACAAGAATCTATCATCGTTTCAAATACTAAATCCTGGGAGATTTAGGATCAGGTACTGTCACTTTAAAGAAAAAAGCGCATAAAATAATTTTTTAGCTCTTTCTTATGTAATCAGGACAGTGGAATTTATTCCTTATTCTGACTTTTGAGTTTCATGATCTGTGTGACAAAACCTGCAACCCTTACACCTGTGTATAGTGCTGCTTAGTCCTGCACATTGTCCCATTTAATTCGGTGGGAATGCTAGGGGGAGAGAGGAGTAGACACATGAGTAAGGATTTGCGGGATTGGCCCAAGGTTAATGTTTAATTCACAGATGGGTCTGTACATAAGCAGTTTTATGGCTACCATTTGCTTAATTCTGGCTATCAAAACCCCCCAGGTTTCCTAGCAACCAACCGGCATTGCAGCTGTTTTCGGCCTTATGTAAGGACTCAAAAATGTTTGGTTGAAATTGCTTGACCAACAAATAGATCGATTTACCATTTCGTATATGACAAGGAAATAAAATGTATGTAATATTTGTCCCATCCTTATATCCAATATCTGTTTTACGTGATAGCTACAGTTACAATCATGCTGCATAAAATTCAGGAATAAATTAACCTGACCAATATGTATTGCATCATTTTGCGCAGACAGTTTCCATTCTATTATGCTGTTTCACACATGGTACTTGAAAATTTTTTAATAAAATGAAATTAAAACTATTTACTATATCTGTCATACATAAAAATGTACTTGTTTAAATCAAGATAAACCATCCATGGGATTGTTTAGTCTGCAGAAGAGAAGAATGAGGGGGGGATTTGATAGCTGCTTTCAACTACCTGAAAGGGGGTTCCGAAGAGGATGGATCTAGACTGTTCTCAGTGGTACCAGATGACAGAACAAGGAGTAATGGTCTCCAGTTGCAGTGGGGGAGGTTTAGGTTGGATACTAGGAAAAACTTTTTCACTAGGAGGGTGGTGAAGCACTGGAAAGGGTTACCTAGGGAGGTGGTTGAATCTTCTTCCTTAGAGGTTTTTAAGGTCAGGCTTGACAAAGCCCTGGCTGGGATGATTTAGTTGGGGATTGGTCCTGTTTTGAGCAGGGGGTTGGACTAGATTACCTCCTGAGGTCCCTTCCAACCCTGATATTCTATGTTTTTATGGACCCACGGTCCCCCGGGGAGTGCTATACATCTACATAATGGACCTGAGCCTGAGCTGATGTAAATCTGTGTAGTTCCCACACATTGATTTCAATGGAACTACACTGATGTACACCTCCTGAAAATCTGACCCAGTGTCTCTAAGAATTTGCATGTAGATCTCTCATAGCTGAAAGATTTAAAGATGTTTAATGACCATTGGCTGTACATCTAAGGCAGTGTTTCTCAAACTGGGGTCGCTGCTTGTGTAGGGAAAGCCCCTGGCGGGCTGGGCTGGTTTGTTTACCTGCCCCGTCCGCAGGTCCGGCCACGGTTCGTTGCTCCAGGCCAATGGGAGCTGCTGGAAGTGGCGCGGGCCAAGGGACTTACTGGCCGCCACTTCCAGCAGCCCCCATTGGCCAGCAGCAGCAAACCGTGGCAAGTGGGAGCCGCGATCGGCCAGACCTGCGGACGGGGCAGGTAAACAAACCGGCCCAGTCCCTCCCCGCCAGGGTCTTTCCCTACACAAGCGGCGACCCCAGTTTGAGAAACATTGATCTAAGGAAACTCAGGACCATTGTTTATCCCACAAGGTCTGGAATAGATTAATCTAAAAAAACAGCCCAGAAGCCACCTGTTTGAGATCAGTGGAAGGATGTCATCTGCATCTTATTTCTGGGTGCATCATCACAAATACAACAGAGAGGCAGTTTTGCGGCCTGATCAGAAGACCACTGAAGTCAAAGGAAAGATTCCCACTGACTTTGTTGGACTTGAGAGCAGGCCTTTAGAGATCTTTTCTTTCTTTTTGCAGAATCCCAGTGGATTCAGGTGCTGTCTGCAGCTTTCATGCAACTGCATAGATTATTTCAGGTTTTATAAGGCAGGATTGTGTTTTAGTTTCTGATGCTGCTCTCATTGAAGTCAATGGGAATTTTAACATTTACTTCAATAGACATAAAAGGACATAGACATAAAAGGAGCAGGCCTTTTATGTTTACAAGTCATGTATAGAAGCATAAAGGTTTAGTGAATGGAGAGAACTCTATATGCAGGAGTATGCTACCCACCTCTCTGAAGTGATGGTATATTCAATTGTGATATATCCAGGTGATGGGAGTATAATATTGCAAGGGCATTCTGGGCACCATGTTCTCAAGAAGATATTACGAAATTAGAGGGAATTCAGAGATGAGCAACAAAAAAGATCGCGGGACAGGAGGGAATGATTTATAAAGATAAAAACCTTAAGTAGATATAGGGTGGCCTAGGGTGGGGAGGGCATGATAACAGCTCACAGATTAGATATTTGAATGATTTAAATACCAAGGAAGTGTGGTGCCTGGGGTATAGTGAGGACTAATAGGCTGTGATTCAGAAATAGATAATTTAGGCTGACTGACAGGGAATACTCTCTGACAGCAAGACCTATTTGGCTATAGAATAGTCTCCCAAAGAAAGCAGAGAAATCCCCTCACTTGGGACTGTGAAAACTACAGTGGACAAAACATTAGCAAATGTACTGGAAGGAATAGGCCTGCATTTTCAGGGAGATGGACAAGATGATCTAATAGGTCTTTTCCATCTCAGTCTTCTGTGATTCTGAAATTAGTGCCAAATCCTGCCCATCTTACTTGCCCCAGTAGTTCTATTGATGCCCGGTACTCTAAGGTCATTGTGATGCCAACGGGACTATTTGGATGAGTAAGGTGGGCAAGTTTTGACTTTATATTTTTGATGGCCTTTAAACTGCCTACCATAACTGTTTCTGATGGTAAAGAGTTCCATGTCTGATGATCCTGTCTGTTTGTAAATGCCTCCAAAGCACATACCGACAGTTTGGACAACCAGCTTGCAATCAGTTACGTTAGTGTATTTATTTATATTGCACTTGGAATTCCAAAGTGCTGATGAACAGTTGCAGCTACAAAATAATTAACATCCTTGCAGCTGTATAATCAAACGAGAAGAAATTTACAATAAGGGTTGTCATGTGTTAAGATAAATTTAACATAAAGGCCAAGATTTAAATAATGAGTTCTTAAAGTTAGGCTTCTAAGACCATATTTGATTACAATGGGAGGTGTGCAGCACATTTGAAAATCAAGCTACTTATGAAGGTGTCTGAATATGGAATCAAGAGCCTAATTTTGAGTGCTCCATTTTAAAAATCATGTCAAAATTTAAAAAAAAACCATATAAATGAGGCAGATTGATAGACAAATGCACTCATTTTGACCCATCTTTAGTTCTGATTATTGACTGCTTTTTACATTGCAGATCAAATTTTGAAAAAATATTATTTTTTCAATTACAGCATGTCTGCCTTCAACATGGAGGGGAAAAAAAGAGAAAACCACATTTTAATAGTTCATTGGTGCTGGCAAAAATATGAATGTAATCAAGAGTAAGCTTAGAAAAAAATTATCTTTATGGAAATATCCTATAGAATTTACTACAGAATGTGATCTTTTCTATTGTGTGTTTGTTTTTTTTTTGGCATTCTGTAGAAATTAACTCAGAATTCTGTAGGCTGGTTAAAAAACCCCTATAGAGATATCAAATTCTCTGAGCCCAGTTCCGCAGCTCTTACAAATAAATGGGACTATTTGTGTAGTGAGATACTATTTAACAGAAGAATGGCAGAATCAGGCCATGTCGTTTTAGAATAATTTCTATAGAACTTAGTTGATTTATCTCTATTATATTTTATAGGTATTTTCATAAAAACTTGTTTATTGATTTCCTTACTCCATGTGAGTAAAAGTAAAAAAAAACTGACCTGTAAATAAGATACTCATTGCCAGGCAGTGCCTGTCAGTTCTGTTTTTTTTTTTTTTTTAAAGGTATCCCTCCCCAGTATGTTTTACCTAGCAAGGTTGTATAAAATAACTTTTAGATGGATTTACAGTTAGTTATGAATTTTGGCCAATGTGTTCAGATATATTACTTAGGATGTATGGCTCTAAAACAAATAAATATTGAATCCTCAGAATTGCAGTCTTGCGATAAATGTACTGTGATGCTTCAGTATGTCATAATTGAAGCAATAAATGAGTTAAAACTAGCCTTGATTAAGTTACTTAAAGATTACTTGGCAGATTGTCCTTTGCTACAAAAAATCTCTGCTTAAGAAAAGGGAAGCAGGGTTTGTGAGGCAGGACTTCAAATGCTGACTTTTTGAAAATTGTTGTTGTGAATATCACTTAAGATTAATGGATAATCAATTAGATCTATGCTTTATTTGCAGTTCTTTCCAAACATTTTTTTCTCCGAGCCCCACCATTCTACTCAGCATGCTGCGGTGGGTCCTGTCAGCACCCTGTATCCCCCACTGCTTTTCCAAGTAAGTTTTTATGCTTCATCAGTAATGCTTGAGTTATTCTGTAAACCAAAGCAGCAGGATTTAATGTGTTCTGGAAAACTAATTGGTGATGCAATGGCAGCAGCTAATTCCTCAGTAAAATCACAGCAATCCTATTCAGAAGGTTTCCAAAGATTTATCAAACTTAAGTACACTGAGCAATTGTGAGAGATTTCTAATGGCATTGAGACATCCAGACAGCTAACTAAGGAACGCTCCTTGTTTTCAGTTTGCTAGAAAAGATCCTTTAAGAGTCAATAACTCTTTTTAAAATCTGTATCAATACGCATTTGCAAACAGGAAAAGAAAAGAATTGAAAGATCATAAAATGGACACTGCATATTAATGTCTGCTTGGCATAAATTATGATTCAGGAAACATTAAAAAATCCTCAAAACCCAACCATTCTGTTCATAGCAGACAAACACCTGTATTCATTTAATTTTTTTTTTTAGATTATAATGTTAAAACTGGAAGATGATTTTGTCCCAGTATTATACATTTGGGATGAAAGCTTTGTTTTATATTACCATTTAATCCAAGTCTAAATTTAACTTTGATTTTTGAGGTTTGTGCATCATATAAGATTCTTTATTAAAGAGTTTTGATGTTCATGACTAAGGAAGACAAGCAGAGGATACATTTTAGTTCCTCAAAATTGAGTAAAAAGCACAGAACTATGTGTCAGGCCAAATGGAAATTGCAATTTATGCATTCTGCAGCATATATTTTTATCACAGTTGAATTCAAACCCACTGCGGACTATGTGTATGTGTTTTTATAAATGTTTCCGAAGGGCAGTTGCTAAGTCGAATGATTCCTGACAAGTGAGGCAGCAAATGCTGGCAGTTTAATGAGCTGCAAGTTTCTGAGCACCTCTTTAGGGAGTTGACACTTTCCCACAGAGCGTTTTACATGGCCCTGGCTCCATCACAATGGTTGACAGCACCATGACCAATCACCACTTTCACTTTACTCATCCACACGCGACCTCACCACAATTTTTCACTGTGCAGATGAACTTTAGGAACCATTTCACATTGAAAAGGCCTGGGCAAGGGTCAGTTGCCCTTTTGTATGGTCATAAAGCAATGCTCTATGTGCCAGTCTTTTCTCCTGTCTCACATTCCAAGAGAATTTCTGGACAGCATTTAAAGCACTTGACTGAAAAATAAAGCAGTGAATGAAACTGACTTTTATAGACTCATTCTAGCTCATCTTCCCATATAACCCTGTCTACCTGAAAAGGGATTTAGTGGATGAGCTGCGTGTATACAGGGACTTGCTGAATACATAGGGCCCATTATCAACTGTGGGGATTGTTTATTAACCAGGACTGATACACTACTATTTTGGAAGTGACCTATTAATTGTCCATTTAACTAGAATGTATTGAATTCAAATGAAAAAATGGAAACCATGACTAAAGCTTTTACTCGCTCCTTCAAGGTGGTCTCTGCCATGACGGCAAATTAAGATTGTTCCACAGATTAAGAAGACATTTATCACCATATATTAGGATACTAAGAAAAGACTTTAAAAAACAAACAAACAAAAAACCCCATGCCAAACATTTGGTACCATATTAGCATTTATGTCAACACAGTATTAAACCTTTCAGTGTCTGTTCAGCAGGACAGACTGCAGACTTGCTTCGCTTAACTCATTTTGACATAACTGTTGTGCTGTGTGTGTAAGCTCATGCCTCCAAGTATCAGAAAAATAGACAATGTACACTCGGTGGATTTCACTTGTACGATTAGTGTATTCACTCCATCAATAAGATCATAGGTTGGCTTTTATGTGTACAGTTTTGGTGTATTTTATATTGTTTAATATAAAGCAGTTAAAACAAAATTCCTAGACCATCTTCTTATCTGAATGCTCACCTCCCCAAAAATGTTAGTTTTAAAATTTGACCAAGTGGCTGGCTCCACTTTTCACTAGTGCTTGTCTGTGGTTCTGCTCACTGTTAGTTTTTGTTTAGCTTGGCATTTATAGTACATCCATTACTGTGGTATACAAAGTCAGAGAGGTTTCTCCCCAAACTGGGTGGGTTCTTCCCTACTATATAATTCTAATATTGGTATTAAAACAGTCACCTACCTGCTTCCTGTGTATGGCAGGTAGGTGCATGAACTCACAGTGTTCTAGTGGCTGTTTCTTAGCTGAGTGACTGCCAGTCAATAATCAAGGAAAGAAAACTGTAAAGGAGTCACATAATCTGACACCCTGTCTTTGGCTGACAATTCCATTTTGGAGCTCAGCAAGGGAGGTGAGGTGAGGACCAGCCTTGTTGGCTAAGAAATTATTTTCTTTCTCCCCTGTGGCAATTGTGGGGCTGAGAGGAGATATCTCTTCCACCTGTTTCACTGGAGGCTGTACAGACTGGTCAGGAACTACCACCCCAGCTATTTTTTAAACTGCAGCCCAAACTTAACTCTTTCCCTCCTACTGCAGCCATGTATGAGGTGACTACAGCTTTAAGGCTGTATCTCCCCACTGCCTATGCTTACCTGTGGGGGACGGAGACTATCCTTGATCTGGAAGGTGTAATATATGGGAGGCAACGTGTGGATTTACATGAGGTTCTTGCCCCCAAGAAGCTCTCAGCAGCAGAATGGGGTTTTAGAGGGTTCTATGCACTGGGTTGAAATTTTCCATGAAAAGCTTGGCCTTCTTCAGAAGTCTCAAATATGGCTTTCTGGGGCTTGTGTGCCATAGTCAGCATATTTGAGTCTGAACAGAGTTCTATTGTGTTGCATTACATACATAAACATAACAAAAGTAACCAGTAAACTCTGATGTTTGTGTCTGAGTGGTTTGAAATATCAGTTTTAAAGTTGAAATGTGGCTGTACCAAGTTGTAACTTCATATATACTAACATTTAATTTTAAAACCACTCAGACACTCATCACAAAAAAATATCTAATAAACTGTGATATATACAATGGGGACATGTTAGGACTCTATTCAGACTAAAGTGTGCGTGTGTGTATCTATCTGCAAAAGCACGCACATAATCTGTGTATATATAATGTGTCAAAGTTAAAGATTAGTACACCCCCCAATTAGTGGTTAGTGAAAGCTGCAGCTGAATTTGACTAGCATTTCAATAGGGACGTGTTTTTTTGTGAAAAAAATTGTTGAAATTTTTTTCACTGAAATTTTTAAAAAAATTGTCAGAAGAAGGGATACATTTCCATGAATTGTTTCATCAAATAATTCAGTTTTTTGTTGGAAAATTTCAAAACTTGAAATTATTTTGATCATCTCTACATAGGATTTTTTTCACTGAATTCAAAGGGAGAATGATCAGGACACTGTACTAAGAAGGCAATCATTCTGAAGCTTCTGTGAGAGAGAAGGTTTGGATTGTACCGTTAGGGTCTAAAATGAATGTGATTTCAAAACAAAGCCACCTCTATGGCTGCTGGCCCACAGAAAGTCCACAGGTGTCTAAGGCTTTGTGGATGTGGAAATTGCTTCTTACTCAAAGAAAGCACTTTCCTGTAGGTAGTGATTATGGAGTATATTTGTTCTTGCCCAAAAGCCACTTATAATATTTTGGGTTCAGCACATATTTAGTGGGCCTCTGGTACCTCCCCCAAGCCCTGCTCTCTGGTATTTGGTGCTTTTGGAGGTGCACTGCCAGAGCACTCCAAGCCAGCAGCTGCTTTGTGGATTCCCGTGGAAAATGGATCCTTCTTTGGAAGTGGGGGAAAGGGCACATGAAAAAGTGATACAGGTCTAGGTTTTATCATCTTTCTGGGGCTGGTGGAGGGATGATGTGAATGCCCCTGCTCCATGAGTTGGATAAGCAGAAGGTCCCCTCAGAGCACAGATCAAAGGGGTGTGACTGGGCCCAGAATAAACTGCCATACTAGAGCTTGCTGAAAAGTGTTAAAGGATTAAAAATTAGACTGAATGGAATAAATTCAAGTACTCCAGAAAGCTTTTAATAAACAATCTGTGGTTTCCATCATAATCAAGATGTGAATGGCCAATTATTTTCTATGGAAAAGTCTACTACGAAAGCCTTGTCATTACATTGTATATATAGCATAGCTTACTTAGCCCCATCCTTAAACTATTCTTATCCCATTATGCATTTTATACTGGGGCAGAATGAGCACCCATGAAAAAAACTCTGCAGTTTGCTCACCCTGATCATATTGTATAAGTAAAAGTGTAGATGTTTCTCCCTGACCATATCTGGATTTCACACTAAAAAGAGCTCTATATTCAACCCCCTACATAGACTCATCTGGTTATGCTTTTTATCACTCCAAAGAGCAGAATCTTGGCCATCTATAACACATCTAGATCCCAGCATTACTGAAGTTGATCAGAGCTGTATCCAGTGTAGAATCTGACCCTTATTGAATATGACTGAATCATCGTGACACATTTGTAACGCCAACAACTCAAAAGTGAGACTCCAGTCTGATAGTGGTGTAAAGTATAATGCTTAATATTCCTCTGATAGTGTAACGCTATGTATAACATATATCTTCCATTTCCTCTAGGAGAGGAAAGTGTTCTGCCTCTGTTGACCCAGGACTCCAACTCCAAAGCCCGGAGAGGTATTTTAAGAAGAGCTGTCTTTTCTGAAGACCAGAGAAGAGCTTTGGAGAAGATGTTTCAGAAACAGAAGTATATCAGCAAAACAGACAGAAAGAAACTCGCTATTAACCTGGGTCTGAAAGAGTCACAGGTATGGAGGGATGGGGAGACATTGTACAGCACTTAGCACAATGGGGTCTCAGCCCATGACTTAGGGCTCCTAGGTGCTACTGTAAGACAAGTAATAAATAATAGTAATTCACAGCTTTCTGTCTTTGAAACAAAAATCTTCAAAATAGCTTTGCTGGAGAGGGATGGGGATATAAACAGCCCAGGACCAGTCCAATAGTCTTTACTTAGGCAAAAGTCTCAGTGAAGTCAATGGTAGTTTTACCTGAGTAAAGAATGAATAAAAGAGAGTCCCCATCCTGTAGTGATTTGCATTCAAAAGTTAATATCTCCATTTCCATACAAAGGTGGAGGAAAATCCCCTCTGAATACTAGCACCCTCTAATCCCATTGTCCTAACTGATGGCCGCTTTTGGCTCTGCATGCACAAAGCTCCAAAGGGATCTGGGAGCAGGGCACTGTCTTCTGCTCTGCTTCTAGGTGTCTGCACAGAAATCCAGGCTCAGAGCTGTTTTAGTTTTCTCTGTTTTTGCACCTGTTACTGAGCAGCCACCAGGGAACTATGCTAATGGCAATGCAACTGCTACTGGACTCATGCCATCTAGGGAGATGGGGCAATGGAGGCAGCAACCTTTCAGCTGATCCTGGATCCAGGCAGAGGGAGACCTATGGGGTTGAGAGAAGCATTAGAATGAAAATTCCATGAGGTGACCTTACTGGAGGTTCCCAGCTCTCCTATTTGGCCACCTTCCAGGGGTTTTTCCCATATGGGAGTATGATCTGTCCCAGAATAGAACTTCAGGATTTGGCCCAGTGTTTAATATCATTACAGTGTTACTTTTACCATATGCATATAGTAGGATGGTACCCAGAGGTGCCCGAGAGCTTTGGGACCCCAGTGCATTGGTCTCTGTGCTAAAGTGATAGTACCTGCCCTGGAGGGCTTGCAGGGCAAACAAAAGGTGGGGACAGGAATAGAACACACAAGAAAATAAGCTTGTGTGATTGGCACAGTTTCGTTAATTACATGGAGGTAATGGTCAGGGAGAGGGGAAGTGGCAGGAATGGGGGAGTGATTGAGATAAAGGGAATAGGAAGAACAGTCCTAACATATCACCTGCTTTGCCATAGTCAGCAAGGAGGGTTTTGAAGGCATCTTGGGAGAGATGAGTCTTAAGGATGAATTCAAAAGAGGCAGAGATAGTGGCTGTACACTTTTAGAATGAGCTTTTTCTATGCATAAGGGGCATAAGAGAAAGCCCGGAGGTGCTTGAGGGAGAAGATAACTGGTGGGATATAAAGGCTAGGAATGGTGGTGGAGCACTGTACATTACTGTAATTTTTAACTTGAACACTTCAGCCAGAAACAATAAAGAATGCACAGACTGAGACCCTTTCCAGTCTATTAGCTGAAGCAGAGTAGTAATCACTATTGGACAAACTGTTTCTTTTCATGCTGACAGTGTACAGTCACACTCTGCAATGAGCTTTCTAAAATTCTCACAGTGCATATTCACATACTGTACGTTGCAGGTATTTCCCTCCTACATTCTTTTGCCTTCTGGATATTCAGTTGAGCCCAGGGGAATAGGAAATGGACTGAGTGGGAGGTTACTACTAATACTAAAAGAAAAACAATTTAATAAAAACAATAGGGCATCATTCCTCTCTAGGTTTTTCCTATATAAAACACAGGAGAGACTGAGAATGTCAATTTGTAGTTTGACTGGCTGTACCCTTTGGGGGCGAGATTTGCCATCTAAGGACTGGGAAGAGGATTTTGTCCCAAAACCCACATGAGAGCCACATGGATCCTAGGAGATCCCTGGAGCCTGCAGTGCCACCACTCTGCCTTCTGGCCTGCAGCCCACTGTCAATAGCCACGTTGTTCCTGCAGCTGGGCCGTGCTCAGCTGCTCTTGTGGGTATAAGAGCCACAGCTCCTGTAGCTATGCTGTGGAAAGTTGTTGTCTCCTTGGCCACCACCTGCCCTCTTCCCAGTCTGCTGAGCCAAATCCTCACCTCATCTGTGCTGGTGAAAGCAGAGGGGCGTGTTTGGTCTGACTGTTGTTAATAATAATGGTTGAATCCTCAGCTGGTGTTAGTCAGCATAGCTTTGCTGATTTCACTGGAGCTATGTTGAACTTGACTTCAGTCAGGCCCAGAGAGGAGTGTGTAAAATTGAAGGGATTTCAAGAAAAAAGGGATTAAGGTAAAATTATTTTAAGGAAACAATAATAACCTCCAATTAACTTGGGAACAGGTGAAAATTTGGTTTCAGAACCGAAGGATGAAATGGCGAAACTCCAAAGAAAAAGAAGTGCTTTCAAACAGGTGCCTCCAAGAAGAGGGTCTTCAAGAGAACTACCTCTCAAGATCCACTCTGAATTTTACTTCCCCATGTCCTTCTATATGGGAAGTGTCTCAACAGCAGGCAAGTCCAAGATGGAGAGAGAATTCTGCAGAACCTTCAGACAGACTGAATAATAGAAATAGAGCGCAGCCACCTCAAGAAGCAGATTCATTTCAGGGGACATTGTATTTGTACCCTGAACAAGACACTGGAGACAAGGCAGTTACATTATCAGTATAAAGGAATGATGGCGTTCTGCAAATTGATCAAAGAACATAGACTTTAAATGGGTGGTTTTTTAAAACTAACAATGTTTGAATGTTGTAAAGCTAACTAGTTTATACCTCATCACTTACTAAAATCTAACACCATTAAAATGACAAACAATTAATGCTGCAAGAAATATTCTTTAATATTCAATCTTCTCTCATGTCTTTTCTGGTCTTATATTGAACTTATAAATGAATTAGGAAGGGATGGTAAGTAAAATGAAGCGAAGAGTTTGAAACTGACATTTTGCTTTGATTTACATACTGTGCTGTATATACGTATTCATTAAAACACACTGATACCATTCTTTTTCTCTCTTATTGTAGTCAGACTCATTAAGCTCTTTTTGGCCATAGGATAGAGAAAAACCCTTTCTCTAAAGCTCATAATTTTTTTTTTTAATTGCTTACAGCCTGTGACATTGACAATAGGTTTATACTGAAAACATCTAAGTATTTTTAGTGGTATTTCTCCATCTTTCCTCATTTATATCGGTATCCAGTTGTGTATACAGTACAGTGCAACAACTCAGATGAGTTATCCTAATGAAAGAATTGAATATTTAAAAAAAAAAATCTCCATGTTTACATCACTTTAATTTGGACACAAGCTAGGAAATGCCAGGAAATGCAATTTACTGAGTCAATTCTTTTTGCCTGGGGATGAAAAATACAATGTCCTTAGCTTTAGTAGCCTTTGTCAGATTGTCAGTAAAGTCTCTTGTATCGTGTTTCGCATTTAAAATTGGAGATAGCGCAAGGGAAAATTAGAACCTACATGGAATCAGCAGCAGTACTATAATTGTGCAAACTGCCACTCTTACTATATATAAAAAAATATTTGACAGCTAACATCCTGTACCAGACTTATTCTTGACTGTTCATTTAAGCTGGTTCCAGTGGGTATGCATCTGTTCCTAAATTCAGTACAGTATTTTATGTATATAACTAGCCTGAAATAGTAGTATTAAAATAGCGTTACTTGAAATGATTTGCTTGCTTCATCCACTCTAAGGGAATCACTCTATTGGATTTAAGAATCAATTATTGTTCAGTTGAGAAGCTTTTTAGCTCCAAAAAAGAGGAATGTGTTTTCTTATTGTATATTTTTGTGAATGTGTTTGTTGAGGGGACTGGTTAGAGATATTTTATGTCAGATGTAATAGCTGTTTGGAGAAATTTCGGACATAAAAGGGCAGAGCTGTTTGACTCCCTTCATAGATATATTTTTTTTTTTTTTAAGGCCAGCGGGGATCATTATGATCATATAGTCTGACCTCCTGCACAACGCACTATAGAATTTCACCTAGTAATTCCTGTATGGACACCTATAACTTGTGGTTGAACTAAAGCATGTATTTTTGACATTCAATCTTGATTTAAAGGTTTTCCCTAGGTGATCATTCATTACATCACAAATAATACAATATAATGCCTGCTAAACAATAAATATTTTCTACAATTTTAGATACATGTGTATATATAAGAAAACTTTAGATTGTATAAACAGACATTATATCATAATGCATATGCACAAAGAGGCAGAGTAAAAGTTATGTATTGATCTTTAACTTCTGCATTTCCTGACTTTTGAGTGCTTAACTGTGCAGTCTTAATGTTGTACTAATATAGTTTTTAACCAGGTTTTTTAAAGGAAATGTGAAAGCAAAGAAAAATAAGTCCTCTGTTCTTTAAATAACAAGCACTAGCTGGCAAAAATCACCAGGTTCCTGTCATTGATACTAGTTAGCACACAAGGAACCTGATTCAGCAAACCATCTCTCATATGGGTAGTTGAGTCATTTGAGATGAAATTCTCTCCTGTACTGAGGTAGTTAGCACAGGGCCTATGCACCATGTAAATCCTTCATAGGCCCTATTTGAATGGATGGTTTATTCATAGGGGTGAATTTTGCCCTCGGGTTGTCCCATTGAAATCACAGGGATTAGTCACATGTGTAAGAACTATATTGGGTCCATGTAGAGTTAACAGGTACTAATCAGCTAAAGGTCAATTCAGATAGCCTGTCTTTGTGTTTCTGGCTAAGTATTCATTTCTATACACTTATATCCAGGGCTGCCAACGCTACATGGTTTGCTCCATAACTTGCAGGTCTTCAATGCCTCCTACCAGGGATATAGCCATAGACTCTGATTGGCTGCCTTCCCCACTCCCCTGCCTCTTGGGGAAGAGTAACCAAACAGTCCTAGGCTATGCGTTGAGGGACTGACCACCTGGACTAGGCAGAGTTCCCACCCACCCAGGGCCGGCTCCAGCATTTTTGCCGCCCCAAGTGGCGGGAAAAAAAACAAAACAAAAAAACCCACCGCGATCGGCGGCAGCTTCGTTCTTCAGCAGCGAGTCCTTCCCTCTGAGAGGGACCGAGGGACCCGCCGCTGAATTGCTGCCGAAGACCCGGACGTGACGCCCCTTTCCGTTGGCCGCCTCAAGCACCTGCTTGCTGCGCTGGTGCCTGGAGCCGGCCCTGCACCCACCCTTCTTCCCCTAAAGGACCAGAAGTGCTCAACCCACAAGCTGAATGAAACTCCTCTCATATGTGAAGCCCTTGGAGCCAGAGACTCCAAGCTGCCCCTGGGCTTGGTGAGAAAGGAGGAAGAGACTCAGATGAATTGCCACTCAAGATGGGGTACAAAGGTATCTAGTCACTGCAACACCTAACCCTTAGGCACTTAGCTGCCTACTGGAATTCACAGCCCTGAGTTAGGTGCACAGGTTCCCCATTTAATGCATGTGGAGAATTAGGTGCCTAAGAAAGGAGCCTCAGAAGCCAGCAAGCTGAGTGGGGGGGGGGGGGACCACATAATCCAGCTGGGAGTGAAATGCAGAGGATAGGGCTCAGGGTCAAATCCCATTGATTTCAGCTTTAGGAGCCTGATTCATGGGCCTGTGGGAGGCACCTATCTCTGCTTGAGATTCTCAGCTATGAACCTTCTCCACATGCCCCACAGTTATCCTAACCACTGGGTTATTCTGACATTTGTGCCTATGTTTCTTGTGCGGGGCCTGAGCCTATAAGGGTATGTCTACACTGCACACAAAAAACCCCCCAAACCTATGGCAGTAAGTCTCAGAGCCTGGGTCAACTGATTTGAGCTTTTGGGATTTGTGTATTGGGGCTAAAAATAAGAGTGTCGACATTCCTGCTTGGGCTGGAGCCCAGGCTCTAAGACCCATCTTCCTTGCTGGGTTAAAGAGCCTGGGCTCCAGCCCAAGTGGGAACATCTGCACTACCACTTTTAGCCCTGAAGCGCAGGCCCAAATCAATTGACCTGGGCTCTAAGACTTATTGCTGCAGAGGTTTTTTGCAGTCTAGACATCCCCTCAGTGTACTCAGAGCACAATTAAAGGGTCAGGCCCCACTGGTGAGATAGGCAGGGGCATGCCTAGTTTGAGAATCCTAATAGTTTGGAGCTGCTGGGGCTCTGTCTTATGCCAGGGCTCTGAGCAGCTTGTTAGCTGTGGGGTTGGTGTCAGGACTTAGGTGGCTTTGTGCATGCCCACCAGAGGAAACATAGGCACCTACAGGGTTAGACAGCAGCAGCCGAAAGAGGCAGTTAATCACTTCAGTACATATTTGAGGATCTGGCCATAAAATACTCTAGGTGTGCAACAAGACTTCCAAAAAGCAAAGGGAAAAGTTTCAACATGTTGGTTTTAAATGTTCTCTACAATGTCAATTTGACTTTCTTTAGTCCCCCAGAAACACTGTGTGAATTTTGGACCATAACTAGAGTGGTCTGAGTCCCCAACACCAAAATAAAGTTAAACCTGTAAAACATACAACCTTGATCCCTCTTAGTTAATGCTATTTAAAGTGGAAATTTCCCTTCAACCTGCACTACGAAATTTCAGCAAAGAAGCACCACTCATCATGAATATTGTAAATATCACAAGACATTTACTTTGCCATTCTCTCCTGAAATGTCATACGTTTGCAATGGATCAAATAGTATACATGCATTTTCTTTAAATAATTTATAAACATCAGTTATGCCAGAACAAGGGGAACAGAAATGGGTGATACAAATTTCCTGCTGCATCTCCACCTTCCCCCACTCAATTCACCCTCAGCCCTGCCAACTCATCCTGTCCCCATCCTAGCTCAGAACCTCCCCAGCCTCTCTCCATCCCTTGCTCATAGACATTCTGCACACACCTAAGCCCCAATGCTGAGAACCCTTCCGATTCCTACCAAACCTCTTCATAACTCTAAACCACTTCCTCAGTTCCATAACTTCCCCTACTCAGGCTCAGAATACCCCTGCCACACAAACCCCCCAGGTCACAAAATCCAACCCCAGCCCAGAACCCTTCCCCTCCCTAGCTGGCACCCACCAACATCACCCAACTCAGAACCCCTTGTCTAGCCCACAGTCACCACCTTGTCTTCCCCTATTTCATGCTGGACCTGGAGATGCAGGAGCAGAAGTAGGAAGAAAAAACTGTGGCTGCTGGGCGCATGTGCAGGGAACCCTATAGGCTGTCTCTGTGAGGATGTAGAGTGTTTGCTCTGCACCTTCTAGTGCTGCCACCTGGCCAGATTTTACCAGGACCATCCCTTTTTTGAGGTAGCCGTCCTGGGATATCTGTAAGGGTGCTTAGTACACAGCCAGGTGTCCAGTTTTATGGGCTCAGGGTCATCCGTGTCCTCTTTTTTTTGTATCTCAGTGGTGGCAACTCTACCTCGGCTCCTTGCAGGCCCTGTGTTGCAGGAACTTGAGGGGCTCTATGCTGCGGCATTCATGTGCAAAGAGCCAGGTATTCTGCCTCTGGAACTGAAGGAAATCATCCCCACAGAAGCCTGTATTCCCTGTTCTGTGCCTCCTCCTTCTGCTGCCTGCAGTATTTGTGCTGCAGGGCTCAGAGACCCCCATGACAGCCAGGCACCCTACAGCCTTCAGGGCCTGGAACGGTTTCACTTGCAGGAGTCCCTTAGTGGCAGCAAGTGA